ATTATTATTATTATTAATAGAGAGGCGTAACAACATTGCACTCCATAAGGATGTCTTTCAGGTTTGGCTACAATTTTTCTCAAATTAAGCTGATCTCAATTTTAAACTAAGAAATGCTAGGGCTTTTTTTTACTGTACTTTTTTACCGTGCATGCATTTTTATATTTTGCTAATGCCTTATATTTTAGTAGCTGCCTCGGTGGGCTTGGACCCCTATATAAGCAGCGTCAATATGCATTCCTTCAAGTAACGCTAGGGCTTTAATTTTGTTTTGTTTATCTAAATGAAGTCTTTAGTACAACAACCTAAAATAAATCAAACAAATTTCTAGCAAAGAAACTGTTTGGAAGTTGTTTGAACCATGCACGGTGAGAGCAGCAGGAGAGACTCGGGTCAGACTTGGAGCACCGTGTAAAACATTGAAGAGGTATGAAACCTAGGCCTGTGTGTCTGCTGCGTGCAGGACAGCTGGACGTCCTCGTAACAAGATAGGGACAATGTCTGCCGCTCGGGCCTCAGTGACATGCGGACTGGTAACAGAAGTGCTGCTGGGGATGACATCATGACTGGGTCCGATGACACTCAGAGGCCCCTGGATATAAACTTACAGACAGATGAGGCCCTGAAGGTGTCAAAAGGCATTGCCTAGGAGACACAGTCAAACATCAACAAGACATAGACATAGAAATGTGTTTGATTTAGTTTAGGTTGTTGTACTGAGGAGTTTATTTAGATAAGAAACTAAACAAAAATGAATGTATATTGATGCAGCTTTTTTAGGGGTCCAAGCCCACGGAGGCAGCTACTAGCACATTGAACTTCAGCAAATTATAGAAATTTGTGCTCATTATGAATGAGTCATTTAGCATGCTAATTCCTAAACAGCCTGTATCAGCATCTGTGGGAATGTCGATTTGATTTTCTTGTTTCTTGTTTTGGGGTTCATTTTGTCTAGTTTATTCTTTGTGATGTTTACTTTCTCATTCCTCAGCATTTTAATCACCATCAGAATTTTTTTTCCTTCAGTCACTCTCCTGCAATACACTCCTAAACCTGTTCTCTGTTATCATTAAKCCACCTTTCTGCATTTTTTTGGTCGGCTCGCTCTACTAACTGTGACAGCAATGTCCACCTAATTCCTTTTATCACATGATTAAAATGCAATTAGGTAATATTGTCTTCTCAGTCTTATATCTCTTATCAGTGCTGCTTGCATCTAAAAACCTTGATGGATAAAAATCTAACTTGTTACAAAAAGGGACACGGGGGATGTTCCCTGGCCATGCAAAAAAAGCTCATATGGACATCAAGATATATTCTCAGCAATAAAAACACTCTACTTAAAAAAAAAATCTGTGCAAAGACATAAAAATTGTGAGTCTGTGGTAACTGACGCTGAGCAACAAGGCTCTCATCTTGTCGCACGAGCGTGCCTGAAATGTCACCACTGTTACAGCCTGTGTTTTGGAATTCTTGTGAAAAATTGATTCAGAAGCATGTTTGGACAGAATCAAACTGCGCAGAACCACTTAAGCTTATTTGGACTGAACTGTGTGACAGAATATGTTCCTTCTGCTTTGGCTGCATGGAGCACTACATCAGAAAAACCATTTGGAGMATCTAAAATAAGCCAGAAACATGAAGCACTTCCGTCATGAAAGCATTTTAAAATGCTCATGAGGCGAATGAGAGGAAAGAGTGGTAAGGGGTGAAGATTAGTTATATTTTACAAGGGCTGGCGGAGAGAAGAAAATATGGTTTGGAGAAGAAAAAAGGTCAAAATGCTGTTTGCTTTGTGCACAAAACATTTAAAAATGTCACTTTTTACTTATTTATAATATGAAAGTCATGTTTTCTCAATATTAAGATTATATTGAGCGACGTTCAAAAAACAGAGGTTATTGGGACAAAATATTAGAAGCAAACCTTTAATTTTTAATTCTCTGTCTGGAATAAAGAAAATTGAGTATTCAGATTGTTAGCAGCTTGACAAGAAAGTGCAAATATGTGTCGTTGTGACATTTCTACAGCCTCAAAATATCCACAAGCTAAAAAGCCATTATAGGTAGACAGCAATTAAAAACAATCTTCATAACGCCTAACATAAAATGTCTTTTCCAGACATTTTATGTTTTTTTTCCCTTTTTACATCATTCACTTCCATTACACTAGCTGTCATATTGTCTGACGTGTGGACAGGTCAGTAATGAGCTGTTTCACAGAGTTTCATCATGTCAGAGCCAGACGGCCAATTTGACTGGCGAAAGAAACTAAAAGTCGTGATTACGAGAGTAGGAAATGAAAAAAAAAAATTACTAAAATAATGAAGAGCAAAGGCATTGAAAAACAGATGGACTAACAGGAGGTAGAAGATACAACAACCAGAAACACAGCGTGACATAAAAAAAACTCTTGCATATTAAGTAATAGGCGCAGATGATTAAAGCTGCTGCTGAAGCAGAGAGTCTCATCATCAGGAGGTTAAAAGTGGCACTTCTGTGTGTGGAGTTCAGACTGAGTAGTTTTCTGTCACGGTTTACGGCTGCTACACACACAAACACACAAAGTTGCACCAGCATGTGCCCACTCACACAAACACAGAGAGATAAAGTCGTGCCGATAAGCCATTGGCTGAAAACAAAGTCAGTGAGTGTAACGAGACACTGAGGGAATACAGAGCAGAGCTGGGAGACCTGAGAGGAAAGAGAATGAAAGATATAAAGAAAGTAGAGAGAGAGAGAGAGAGAGAGAGAGAGAGAGAAGACTGCAGAGTGAAGACTGATGAGTGTTTGCACAGAGGAGCAAAGAAAAATGGAAAAATAAAAGAATATTGAGGATTTATAGAAGTAAATAAAACCAGAGCAAAAAAAAAAAAAACAGTGGAGTAAAATAAAACTGTCAGGATAAATAAGTTGGATATGAACAAAGGAATAAACAGATAATATGGGAAGAAATTACTTGAGGCTAGAGCGGCTGCACAGTGGTTTGAGCTGTTTCCTCTTAGCTGGAAGGCCACAGGTTTGCCTCCTTTCTGTTCTCCCTGTGCATTCATGGGTTTTCTCCAACATACCCAAAACATGCATGTTAAGTTCATTGGTAACTTTAAATTGAATGGTTCCTTCTCTCCTCTGTGATGGACTTTTGACCTTGYGACTAAGACTAGTTGCAGGTAATTTGTCCAAACCTTGCATTATCTTATAAGGACTGAAATGATCTGTTTGTGACTGTGAGCTACTACTACCATATTTCATTTTAGCTYCGTATCTTTAAAGTTTGGTGAGCTATAGCCAACTTTCTCTTTGCTAAGATGCTTAGCTGTGTTGGCCATCTTGAATGGGGCTGACACCAAAGATTTCTTCAACTGTAAATGTTCATCAAATGATTACCATTCGAAAGTTTGAATGGGTGAAGTGGGGGGGGGGTATATTGCAAAATTGACTTTTTAAGCCTTATAYGCTGTTATGTCATTCCCTCATCAAAAACATAGAGTGCTGCTTTGACTCATTCATGCATGATTGAGAGATCCTTGAATCTCCAGTGGTAACCATTTAGAGCTGCTTAAACATTTACTGGTACAAAGCACTGCCTTGATGTACCTAGCCCCTCCCTGTGGGAGTGTCTGAAATGGTAGGAGGTTCTTAAAGAGACAGAGGCCAATTTCAAGGCGTTTAGATAGACTATGATGCAAAGTTAAATTTAATTCAATTCAATTTAGTTTATTTTTATAGGGCCAAGTCACAACATACAGTACGTTGTCTCAGAGCACTGTATATGAAAAAAAGAACAATCTAAAGAAGAAGTCAGCAGATTGTGTTGAACCACTTCATCATTCTCATCCTGAGCAAATTTATTTTTGAGATATAGAGAATTTTCATAACAACTGAAGGTACCTAATCTAACCCTAACCCCCTTACACTCAGCCTAACTTCACAGGTATATACCTAATCCTAACCTAAATTTAATTCATATTTAGCCCCAAGCCTAACCCCTGACCCACAAATGGTGTTTTTCYATTAAAAAAACCAGGCAAATGTCAACACAATGACAAAATGTCCTCTTAAGCATATTACAATATCAAATTATACCTACACACACACACACACACACACACACACACACACAC